CACATCTGTTTTTACTGCCATGAAATTAATAAATTTCAATTTCAGCACTCATCACTTCAAATATATGGAAACAGGGTCAATGTAGAAACAATTAACTTTGCTACAAAAATAAGTTTTCTGTTACAGTTATTTTGCTGTTTCTTGCACCTATGTGTAGTGTTTTAGCATACCTGGTTAAGGCAGGCAGGAGTTCAGTTGCAGGGCAGATTGTAGTTGGAATTTTCAGTTTGGAAATGGACAGAAAGGGAATTTTGGATGTTATTTTAATTTTAACTTGTATGTTACAATGACTTTATTGGCCCTGTGAGTGCTGACTTCAAGGAAATAATTGTGTGCCTGCACATGTGTGTAAAACAGGAGATGGGGTAGAATTCTTTGGCCTTATTCTCTGTTTTGTGTGTATAAAACTGATTTAATTGTTGGGTAAGAGCTGATATCTGTATTGATTTTGCACAATTAAGTGAAACTTTATTTGAAAGAGCAATCTTTAGGCTCTTTAGGGTGGTACAATATGAAAGGGTCAAAGCACATATTTGTATTTTCCTTGCATAGTAGTCACTTTTGTAACTTAACAGTGCCCTGGGAGGCATTCCTGTGGCAATAAGTACTAGGAATTAAAGACTGTAATAGAAATAATTTTGGGAAAACTGACTGAAAAGGTTTTTGAGCACAGACCTGTGTCTGTGTTGGCCTGACTTCCAGCTGCCTTTCAATATTCCTGTTAAATGCTGCTCTTATCTCAGTCTTGGTCACTTTGTGGTTGGAACAACTCCCTTTGGCATTTGAATGTTTGATCTGTATTCCTGCATTCCAGAACTTTCTCACTTCACCTGTAACCACCTTGTACCCCTGACCACTCTTGTGCTGCCCTCTGCCAGGAATGACCCCAGAGCTGACAGGGGTGTCTCCCTTGGCTTTGAAAGCTCTGGAAACAGAGATTGCTTTGATCTCTACAGGGTTTTAAAGGACTGGAATTGTACTTTGGAGGAAGGGTCTGTTTGTGCCTTAATTTTGAATGTTTTAATTTGTGTTTCTTGGCACATCTTTGCTTTTTAGTTTGTTCATTGTGTTTTCGTGGCTGTTATTACATTTTGTGTATTTTAATGTTTGTTATCTGCCTGATCATAATTTACTGAAAATAATTGTCTTAGCAGACAGCATCTGTAACAGGGAATGCCTTTTCCCTCAGTTTTTACCTGCTGTATAGAACCTTGTAGCTGCTGGATTTTACACTGTTACATTGGTGTGCAACTGCAATAAAGGACCAGAGAAACCTGTGCCTGGATCTCGTTGTGTAATTAAGCTCTTCAAGTTAAAAACTAGATTTTGTGTCAAGCAAATAATACAGTTCCTCTTTGGGAATGACCCAGTTCATTAGCAGTGGAGTCTAATCAGCTGTCAGATGTGCTGTGATACTTCCAGGCTCTGAAAAGACTCTGCTGAACTGTGTTAGAATGGGAATGAAAGCACAATGCCCTCTCTGTTGCTGCTGTGCTGATGGAAGGGTAACTAATTATTTATTACATCCAGCCAGATGCAACATGCCATCTCCCAGGGGATTCCAGATTTTGAGGATCTTTGCTAAGCTCCTTCATTTGACACTGATCATTAAACTGGACCTGTCAGCTGAGCTCCTTTCTCTGTTGTGTAATTGGCCTTGATAAAACTGAGCCCATGGGTGGTGTAACTCAAGAGGTTCCCAGTTTGTGGTTGTGGCTACAATAATCTGGTCAAATAACCCTAAAAAAAACTTTAAGTAAAATAAATTACTTGCCACAATTAAAAATTGATACAAGACAGTAAGTTTAGATTAGATATTAGGGAGAAATTCTTCCCTGTGAGGGTGGGGAGGCCCTGGCACAGGCTACCCAGAGAAGCTGTCGCTGCCCCATCCCTGGAAGTGTCCAAGGCCAGGTTGGACGGGGCTTGGAGCAACCTGGTCTAGTGGAAGGTGTCCCTGCCCATGGCAGGGGGTGGCACTGGATGGGCTTTAAGGTCCCTTCCAACCCAAACCATGCTGTGATTCTGTGAAGATTGGCTAATTAACTGAAATGAGCATTAATTTCTCTGTCTCACTGCAGAGCCATGCTTGGAGTTTAGCTATCATAGAGAGAGGTTTTGCTTGGCTGAATTAATTCAAACAAGTTTCTACTTATTTTGATGGGAAAAAAATAGGAGATTACATTCCTGGCTAAGGAATCCCCCCTGAAATAATAGTAGATAATGCTTTATAGAAGGCCTCCCCAGCGGTGCTTTTTGGCAGGCAACACATTGTGTTAGATTAAGAGCGAGGTCAGCTCTGCTATTTTTACTATTTAAGGGTTCTAGAAGCTACCACTACTTCCATTTACCCAAGAAAACAAACTTCCAAGCTCTGTCTTAGTGGAGCTGAGGTGTTTGCTGAGGAAATGGCTGGTCTGGTTCCAGCGGGGTGGCTGGGTGTGATCAAGGCAGCCCTGCCGATACCTGGTCAAGAACATCCACATTACTCCTGACAAATGGCCAATTTGCTCCTGCTCCTGGTAATTATTTGTCCTTCTGACAAATCCTTCCTTCCTTCCTTTTTGATGTGACAGACTCCGAGTGCCTGAGTATTAACACATGGAGAACTGATTGGATAATCAAATAGTCTTCAAAGATCCTGTGGAATAACTTGGGGGCCTGAGGAGAGTTAATGTTCTGATAATAACACTTGGCATTTGGGAAGTGCTTTGAAGATATAAAGCACTCTGGGAACACACTGGCAAAGCCAGGATTTTCTCAGGAATACAAATGGAGAAACAGTTGCAGAATTAACTCCGATGGATTAATTTGCAAGAGAGTCAAGTATGTGGTTGACTTGAAATAGGGGCAGTTCAGTGGCTGCTACTCCACTGCCTCTGGATCCTGGGACTTCCACATTCTATTCAGAAATTCCCTTTTGGAAGAACTAGAGAGAAGAAGGTTACTCCATCCCATTCTTGTGAAAGTCAATGGAAATTTCTGGGTGTTAGGTTAATGTTAGGTGTAAAATTCCACAGTCATCAAGCAGGTCACAGAGGGATTGTTGGGATTGTCCTGTGCAGGGCCAGGAGTTGGATTCGATCCGAGTGGGTCCCTCCCAGCTCAGGATATTCTGATTCCAGTTAGTTTATTTGCCTTGAGGTAAGAGCTTGGCCTAGAGAACTGGTGGAGTAAATCCCTCCATGAATGATTCTCTTCACCCGAATACAGACCTGAATTGGAGCATTCATCTGGAAACACCTGAAGGATATATTTTATTTCTATCCCAGTCCTGTCTGCTGAGTCCAGTGTAACAAGGTCAACACAGAGGCAATTCCCTGATTTCATGGTCCTGTGAAAATTTTACCCCAGCATAAAGCATTAAATGCAGTAACAATTGCTTTAGGTTACAGCCAGAGAGTCTATAATGTTAAGCTGGTAGACTAAAGAAAGGCTTTTAGGGTTACAGAAAAATTCTGATATGTTTTCCTGTTTAATTAACTGTCATAGTCTTTTCAATCCCTTCAGGTTCCCATTTCTAGCTGAAAATTGGAAGAACATGCTTGGTGCCAAGGTAATTTTTTTCTAAGCTTTCTTTCTAAATGTCGATGTTTATATAAACCCAGCAGCAGATTGTTGAGCCCTTGGGTTGAGCAGCCACTAGATGTCAGGTTCGGATTAGTGCTCCCAGGATTAGGCTGCTCAGAATTCCTGGAATGGTTGGAAGTAGTGGTGATGGCAGTTACCAGAGTGAGGTACCTGAAAATGTTACTGAAATGTCACATCTTTCCCCAGAATTCCCATCTGTGAGGTATCTTGGAGAAAACCACCTGATCCACCCACTGTCTGAAACATGCACAGAGGAGGATGGTCCAGGAGGATGGACAACTTTGAGTTTTGGAGCTTGGGCACGGCTTCCTGTGTGACACCAACTAACCCCTGCTGAGAAACAGCTGCTCAGAGGTACCACTTCCACCTCTCAGTGAGAAGGAGTGTTGTTGGGAATCAGAGCTTCCAGGCTCAGAGCTCCTCTCCTATCCTAAAAGGGCAAGAAGGAATCTGAATTTGGTAAAAAACTGGCTCCTTTGGCCTTATTGTAGTATCCAAAGTGAGCCTCCTTGGATGCAAAACTTATGCCTGCCCATTTTGCCTGCATGCTGCCAGACTGGTGAATTATTTTATATTTTTGGTTCCCAAACAAGCTTTTTTGGTGGTTTTGGCATCCCACATGGCAGTCAGATTTCAGATTGTCAATTAATTTTCTTTTTTGTGATTTTGGCATCCAACATGGCAGTCAGATTTCAGATTAGCAAATAATTTTATTTTTTTTTTGTGATTTTTGCATCTGCCATGACAGGCAGGTTCCTGCAGCGCCTCTGCAGAGATGCAGGTGATGCAGCACCGGGGACTTGGGTGGCAGGTGGATAGAAGAGCAGAGCAAGATGGGACTGGGGGGAGCTGGGAGACACAGGTTCTGCTGAACTGCAGGTTTAGACACACAGGGATCCATTCTCCTCTTGAGGAACACACAGCCCATGCAGGCAGGAGAACGGATGGTAACACACACCTCCCCTGCGGGCCCCCCTGTACCCGGGGGCAGAGATGTGGAGTGGCCGCTTCGCTTCCCCTGTCCCCTCTTGGGGCAAGGGAAGGTCGGAGGGGGTGGGCATGAGAGAGATGCGCCGGTAGGAGCGGGAAGCCCGGTAAGGAGCGAGTACCGCTGTTAAGGAGCAGTTACGGAGCAGGTACCCCCGGTACCAGAGCGGGCACCGCCGGTAAGAAGCGGAGACCCCCGGGCAGGAGCGGGTGCCCCCCGTACGGAGCGGGCACAGCCGCTGCCCAGCGGCCACCGCGCCATCCCGGGGCGCTGCACCACCCTCCTCCTCCTCCTCCTCCTCCTCCTCCGTCCTCTCCTCCCCCCGGAAAGGAGCCCGGCCCGCCCGCCGCTCGCCGCCACACCGCCGCGGAACAAAAGGGGCGGCCGATGGGTGGCGGCAGAGCCGCTCCGCCCGCCCGCTCCGCGCCCGCTCCGCCACCATGTCGGGCAGCGGCGGCGGCCCCGGCGACAGTGCCGTGAAGAAGAGGAGCCCGGCGGGCTCGGCCGCCTCGCTGGCTCAGGATGAGGACAAGCAGGCGATGGGAGAAGATGCTGGGGCGGGGGCGGAGGGCGCAGGAGAACGGCTGCGCCCGCTCGCCCTCGCCGTGCGGCTCCGGGGAAGGGGTGACCCTGCAGCGCTCCATCACGCTGCTCAACGGCGTGGCCATCATCGTGGGCACCATCATCGGCTCCGGCATCTTCGTCACCCCCACGGGCGTGCTGCGGGAGGCCGGCTCGCCGGGGCTGTCGCTGGTGGTCTGGGCGGCGTGCGGGGCGTTCTCCATCGTGGGCGCCTTGTGCTACGCGGAGCTGGGCACCACCATCACCAAGTCCGGCGGGGACTACGCCTACATGCTGGAGGTGTACGGCTCCCTGCCCGCCTTCCTCAAGCTCTGGATAGAGCTGCTCATCATCCGGCCCTCCTCGCAGTACATCGTGGCTCTGGTCTTCGCCACGTACCTGCTCAAGCCCATTTTCCCCACCTGCCCCGTGCCCGACCAGGCTGCCAAGCTGGTGGCCTGTCTATGTGTCCGTAAGTATCATTTAGTGGCTTTGAACTGACAGGGAGTAGGGTTAGGTTGGATACTGGGAAGAAATCCTGCCCTGGGAGGGTGGTGAGTCCCTGGCACAGGTTGCCCAGTGAAGCCGTGGCTGCCCCATCCCTGGAAACATTCAAGGGAAGAGATCCTTTACTGGCTTTAAAATGACAGAGGCCAGGGTTAGGTGGGATATTGGGGAGAAATTCTTCCCTGCGAGGGTGGTGAGGCCCTGGCACAGGTTGCCCAGAGAAGCTGTGGCTGCCCCATCCCTAGAAGTGTCCAAGGCCAGGTTGGACGGGGCGTGGAGCAACCTGGGATAGTGGAAGGTGTCCCTGCTCATGGGACTGGGATGATCTGGTAAAGATCATCACTGATCTTTAAATTCCCTTCCAACCCAAACAATTCCATGACTCTGTGACCCTTTCTGGGTCTCTGCTGTCCTGCTACACGTGGCTCCTCATTCACCATCACCTTCCCCAAAACGTGTGCTCATGCATCACTTTGGAGGAGATGCCCCATTTCTCTTGTGCTGTGCATACCGAGTTTTTCTGGCTGTTTTGAATGGCAGCAGTAGGAAATGTGGCCCCATCCCAAATAAATGTAGCGAAAAATTCCCCAAATGCCAGTTGCAGGTTAATGAGCCTCTCTGAATGCAGTGTGCAGTAAATACAGGGTGCATTTTTGCTGGGAGCTGGAATAGGATTTCTCATGCTCTGCCCCAGGACTGTGTTTGGGCAGGGTAAAATCCCCTGGTGCCCTGCAGTGCTGCGGTGCCTGGGATGGGCGTTGATGTGCAGATAGAGGGGGGGATAAGGAGCACTTGGGAAATTATCTGTCACGAGCAACTGGTGCTGAACGTGACCTGTGCTCAGTGCTTGGCTGGTTTCAGCACCAGTTGGGAGATGAACTGTTTCTGGGCTGTGTGTGCGCTGATACCATGCTCAGAACCTGGTTTTATGGGGATTTTTTGGCTAGCAAACATTCTGTCTCACGAGGCGTTGCCTTGCAGAGAAGTTCAGTCATGCTGTGATGAATTCAGGGCACACAGATCTCTCTCCTTGCTGCAGTTTTTGTCACGACACTGGTGTTTTGGAGTCTGCAGTTGTGCTGCTCAAGCCCCATTTTCCATGGGGTGAATGCAAAGTCACCCCATCCAAATTCCTCATCGTTTAAATACAGGAGCGTTTTCTGCCCTTCCCTCCTCATTTCCCATTCAATCTGTTCCACTCCACTGGTCTTCTTGTGCCTTTATAAAGGTGTATGTTGGGAAAGGATGTAATTTTTGGGAGGGCTTTGTAAAGCATTTATTCACTGTACAAAATCACAGCCAGGTGATCTTTTTCTTTCTGTGCTTTGAAGTTGTGAAGAGAAGGTTGGTTGTTCGTGCTGCCCTTTCCAAGGGGATTGTGTTAGATTCCTTCCCCCTCTGAGGATCCCAGGCATCCAAAAGCTGCAGCACATGGCTGTTATGGGAAGATATATTGTCTGTAAATATCTTTATACCCACACTGACCGAGGCTTTGGGAGGTAAATTATATGGCTAGTTAGTAATAATAGCATTAATAACAGACAGGGCAGTGAGTTGTACTTTCTCTGGGCAAGATTAAAACCTCCTCAGTCCCCACATCAATTTTTAGGAATGTAAGGGTATGTAGATAGGCATGTGGATTTGCATCCAAGTTTTTCACCAAGTGTAGGGCACATATTAAGGAAATATAATTATTCAACTAAGAAAGCTGCACCAAGGTTAGGAAATAGTTCTGCTCATGGGTGCCTTGCCTTTTGCAAATGTGGTTTTAGAGCTTTCCTGCCAGTCTACACTGTGGTTTCCTCAGGGACCCAGAGGAGCATGGCACGGATGGACGTGGCATTCCCGTTCCTTTCTGAAAAGCCAAGGAATTAGGGCATTGATTAGAGGCTTTCTTACTGCCTTATGGCAAAGTTTTGCTGTGCAAGCACATGTTGGAGTTGCCAAAGCCTTTGAGAACGTGTTTCCAATAATAAGTACCTTTTAATCTGAGGGATCATTCCCGAAACAGGTAGGAGGAGGTGTCTTTTCACATTTTATTGGTCAAACCCCAAAGCAGGGGTTAACTAGACTTGCCCATGGTGAGATCTGTTCCCTGACAGGGTGGATTGCAGCATCCAGCTTCTTGAAGCCAGGTCTCATTCCCGTTCCTGCTTCTCCAGTAAATGTCTCCAGCTTTCCTTTGCTGGCAATGAGGAGTTTCCCTGAAGCAGAATTTGTTCTTGAACCTTTATCTTGAAATGCCAAGGAAAGAGTTTTGAGTTCTCCAAATCTCCATCAGTTCCATGTGTTCCTCCTTTAAACTCCACTCCCCCCACACCGCTGGCTCCTGTTTTGTTTATGCTTTGGGTCAAATTTGGGGTTGTCTCCTCTGCTACAAAAGGTTAGTTCATCCTGCATTGCCTTCAGCAAGTCAGCTTTGGTAACTTTGATTTTTTGGAATTAGCTTTTCAACTCTCTGCTGCCAAAACCACATCATGGGCTAGGAACAATAAATGAAGTAAATCTGCTCCAAGGACTCAACAGCCACACAACACTTGTGTGGACTAACAAGCAGCTTTGTTTCATGGTTGTTCCAAACATCAACTACCCAGGGAGATACTTATTTCTTTTCAAAAGCAATAGAGTAGAAAAAATGACCTATTTGTGCATATGCTGTAGCACATACATTAATGAGTTATCTCAAAAAAGGAAAGAGCAGTTTAGGAGACAATAGAGGAATTTGGGACTGGGGGCTGGAATTCAGTATCCAGAATCCAGCTTTGTAGAGCAATCCCAGCTCTAGCCCTTGCAAAGTTTGTATCTCAACATGAAATGCAGTTGCTGCACGCTTTCTAGTAAGAGGAGAAATAACAGAAGTTATTTGTTTCCCCTTTACTGGTGTTGAAACAGTTGGATAAATAATGTGCTGTTTGGTATTTGCCACAATGAAGTCCAGAGACTGTATTAATGCATTAAGAGACTCCACAGTCTTGAATGAAAGAAAAAAAAGTGGTTGGAATAGGGAATTGCCTTCTCCTGAAGGTGCCGAGGAAAACAAGGTGGGTGGTGAGTGGAATTTACCTACAAATAGGTGCTTTTTGCTATGAAGATTGTAATCTACGCACAGTTGGTGTGCAAGACTTCTTTCATGAGACACCATGAATGCTTGTTAGGTTTGCCAGATAAAGGGTGGGAATTCACTACAGGGAAGTCTTCCTGTAGCAAGGTGGGCCAAGCTGTTCCATCATCAGCCTGGTTCGTTTGTGTTCACCACGAACCAGCCAGTGCTCCTTGGGTGTGGGAATTTGGGTAGCAATTTGGCTGAATGCTTGTCAGGCTGCAGATTGTTGATAATTCTTAGAAACTTCAGCATCTTCTTTTACCTGTGAGATTGTATGGCTGATATTTTTAGAGCTGATAAATAATAACAGCAAATGCCAAGGGACAACAAGCACAAAGTCCGCCATGTAGCCAAGAGGAGCAGAAAAATTTAAAGGCCATGAAACAGAGTTTGTGCATGAAAACCCAACAATAACTTGAATCTACCCAAATCTGATCTCATCTAAAGCAGTTTTACCCCTTCTATAGCTGATGAGGGACAGCCTTTAGGTCCTGACTTTGCATATTTGCTGTACAGTATCAACATTGTACATGGCAAAGATTTAAACTACGGAGGATTCCACGCTCTCTGTCTCGGGTGCACATGGGTCAGGTTCTCTTTCACAGCTGCCACTTGTGTTAACATTTCTTAAATTCAACTGATAAATCTTAACAAAAATCCTGAAAAATCACAGCCCAGCACACCATGTGTGTTCTAGAGGTGGCTCAAGGATGCAAAGTTTCAAATTGCCCAGTTCAAGAGCCCGTGGCTATTCCTTTTTTCCACGTTATTTTGCAGATTTCCTGCTTGCACAGAAGCGCCTTCCCATGTATTGTGAGGAGTAAATTAATTCCCTGTAGATAAGGGAGGCAAGAGATAATGCTGCTATTCCATAATTTACCCATTTCTTGACAATATAATCTGCTTCCCAGAAGCCTGAGAAACCGGGAGTTGGACTTGATGTTTCTTGTGGGTCCCTTCCAACTTGGGATAATCTGTTGCATATAATTTTATTCTTGATCTGCAGCGTCAAATCAGCAGTTTGATTGTTTGCTGCTGAATTCTTTTCTCACTTGTTAATTATATGTGCAAATCTGGCACTACTAACCCCAGCACAGCAGTTTCTGCTGCCTCCAAAGCCACAGTATTTTAATCTTCTTCAAAATTTATTTAGACTTTCTTTGCTGCTTCTGAAATATTATTTTGGGCACTCCTCCTGCAAGTGTGGAATTCCGTGGAAATGATGATGAATTCCTCATTTGTCTCTTTTGTTTTGAACAGCCAAATAGTGAAAGAATTAGTAGCAGCCAGAGCAGAGCTGAGTCATGTCTAATAGCACATGTCATGTGGAAGTGCCTGACACCCCTCTGAGTAACTTGTGAGTTAGAGGAGAAGAGAATCAAAGCCAGGCTCTGGCAGAAGGGTACAAACACACCCCTGACCTCTTGCCAAGTCACAGCTGTGGCCATAAGTGAAGGTTCAGCCTCAGCATCTCCCCCAGAAGTCACAGATGTTGAAAGCAGGAACATCTTTATTTGACATTAAGGTTTCACTTCAAATCTGCCAAGCTCAGCTCTTTGCCCAGGTGTTTGAAGTGAAGAGGTGGATTTTCACCTCATCAAGTATCAGCTGGTAAGCAGGCCAAACACAAAATAATATCCCATCCCTTCCCTTCTTTTCCCATCCCTTCCCTGTCTGTCTCAGAGGGGTTTATTCTGCAGCATCTCTACTTTTAATTAATCTGCCAGGACAAGCCGGGTGTGAAGCTTTGAAGATTTATTTTTTTCTCCTCCAGAAAGGTGGATTAAGTGACTAAAGCTGCATCAATAAATAGGCCCTTGCTTGATCAGAGTGGAGGGAAAGGGTCTGTAGAATCCCTGCTG